AAGCGGCGCAGGAACGCTGAATAATTCTCTGGGTTTTATTTGAAATAAAAAGACGCATTTGGCGATCCAGCGCGTTTGCGACAATTATCTTTAATTTACAGCCTTAATTGAATTTCTCCCTCCCAAAGATGGATTTGGGAGTGATCAGTTTACATTCTCCTTCAGAGGAGTCAAGGCGCAACACGAGACACGCCAACTCTCCAGCATCCTCCTTCCTCTCCTCTCCTCCTTCCATTGAGGGAAGGATCGGATTTGCTTGGTGCTCCTTTCAATCAACCGTGGTGTCAATAAAGCAGGCTGCAGCAGGCCTCCGTGTGCTCCGGGTTAGTGGGTGCTGCAGTTTTCACAACAAAAATCCCCCCAGCAGACCACAACGAGCTGATGCACGATTGGGAGAGATTTCAGATGATTTTTGTGTCGAAATCTGATTTTTTTAATTCCGCGGATTTGTGATGAAGCCACATGAGAGGAGAGACAGAGCACAGGAGGAAAGAATATCTGCTGAGCATCACAAAAGCCTAATTCTGCGTCTCAGAATGGCTCCTGAAACAAACAACAGTTTGGCTGTCTGCGCCGCCTAACCGAGCCCGGAGCGCAAAAGAGCAAATAAAGCGCAAACGTTATTGTTCCGGAGGAGACGCGGCCATTAAATATGGCTGAAAACGTGTAAAAAAAATCAGATCTTACACTGAACCTTTGTGTTTATTGGTGTGTGTCTGCTGCGTTCAGAGCCGGAAGCTTATCACAGTAAGGCCGCCCTTGCTTGGCCGCGCGCGCTCTGCCTGCCCCGGTAGCCTACATGCGTGCTCCTGTTCCTCTCCGCGGTAACCTATGAGAATGATGTGACTCCGGGACTGCGCGCACCACACCAGCATCACTCTGTTTGTGTGTGTGCGTGCGGGTTAGCGTGTGTGCGCGCGCGTGTGGGATTTTTTTTTCTTCCAGTCCGCAGCTCTCACTCTCGCCCTCTCCGCCTTTCTCTCCCCGCCTGTCTCTAAATGCCACCGGCGCCTCCATCTCCATGTCACACTTTTCTTCACATCTTCACGGAGAGAAATAATAAAAAGCTGCAGCGTCCTCTAACAGGTCAGTAAACATTTAAATGTAACGCTCGGTGCGCATGTCTCGGTCCGTTGCTCTCCTCTCAGCTGCTTTCATGCACGCAGGTTTTATTATTATTAACATTATTTTGGGCTGATTTGCTTTGCCTCTCAGTAGAAGACGCAGAACGTTTGGTTTGGCACGAGAACCCCGATGAGTCGACCGTGTCAGAGTCTGGTTCTTGTGTGATTTGGTTAAATTTGCCTGTTTTCGAATGGAGTTTGGCGGAGAGCTCTTACTCCACATCGGCGGAGACACAGGCGGTAATAGTGCATCCATCAGGTCCGCCATTGTTGCTTGTGCGTGCTGACCTTCTTTGAACGCAGATGATTTTCTGTTTTGGGGGGGCTGGTTTGTAGAACTTGAAGCTATTTCTTAAAAGATGTGGCTCTGTGGCGCAGAAGCCACGCTAAAACGTCCCAGATGAGAGTTTTAACGACCTATTACCTTCCGCTCAGGTTGATGATGTAGGCTAGAAACCCATAAAAGGCGT